TTTAAAATTTGTTGTTGTATGACAAATCACGACTTCAACTGACAGATACTTCATGAAAATAATTTGGTTTTTGCACTGCAGTATTTTGTACGTTTGCAAAAAACTTTGACAGCTTTCAAAGCAATTTGCTCTATAAAGAGTTTAATAAAACAATTATGGTATCAAATACCAATTGAAAAGATATGGACTACTGTATGGAGCCAAATGAAGAGCAGCAAGGAAACGACAAGAAAGCCGAACGTCTCACGAAAAGGAGGGAGCTAGCGAAGACGATAACGTTTGCTCGAGGAGACTGCTGAGGAAAGAGAAGCTCGCCTGGGAAAGCGTAGAGAAGGCATGGAAAAAAAGACTGCTGAAGTGAAAGGTAAGCAAAGGCTTGTCTTCACAATGCTATGTACCACTGATGCTGTAGCTATACAAGTTGAAGTATGATATTCGACCCTCTATATTCGACTATTTCTTCACAATGTTCCAATAAAGAGTTTGTCATGACACGCTCAAGTCAGTATAACCAGACTGTATTTTATTTATATCAGTTATCACAGCCACAGGCAATTTTATGCTGTCAAATACCGTCGGTTGCAACTAAGGGTGAACAGTTGCAGATAAAACATTCTCTATTCTCATTAAAAAGCCTGTAAAAGTTTCCAGTAGGTCTCTAGCCCAACACGTTCAGACCACACAAAGTTTTGTTACTTATTATTGTACACATGGGAAACAACAATTAAGTGTTGTTGTTCTTGACAAACATTGAAAATTCTAATCGCACTAATGTTTTTATGAGCGACTGTTCATCATTAGTTGCAAGCGACGGTACAACATACTATGAACATTTTTCTGACTGTGACCGAATGTGCAACGATATATTTTTCAAAGTTGTTATGAATTCCTAAAATTTGTTTATAGTAAAACGGCCTGCTCAGCACTCACTACTCACGATGATTTCATTTAGAAATGCAGTTATCAGGAAAGGAACTGATTCTAAAATATGTAAATTTAAAAGCATTGGCTAACAGAATGAAGCGATGTGAAGACAAGGTACAAACTTTTATAGTTGCTATTTGTTATAAAATCCTATAAATAAACCGATTCAACAATCATTTTGCCTCGAATTTGCATATTCTATGCTGCATGTCAGAGGCTGCATGTTTATATTTTATTTTTATAGTACAAAAATAAAATTATAATACTATGAAATAAAATACATTTCTGTTTATTGACCAGTACTTATTTAATGTCTTCTTCATCCAGCGGTCATAGTAAATTTCTACTTCTAGCCAGTAAATATTTGACAAGCAGTCTGGAATAAGCACAGGACTTTTAATTCATCAGCCAAATCCAAGTGTGCCCATCCCCCTCGCCCAGCCATTTTCCTGTAAAACACATCCCAGGGGTTGGGCATTTCCACTCGAACCTTAGCCCCGGCGGGGCATTTGAAATTAATAATTTGGATTCTTGCACTTCACTTGTGGAATTAATATTAGAATGTTAGGATTTGTAATCCAAGTGAGAATATATACATGTATATATTTTGTAATCCAAGTGAGAATATTTTGTAATCCAAGTGAGAATATACAAATGTATAGTACATGTATATATTTTGTGTATATATTTTGTAATCCAAGTGAGAATATACAAATGTATATATTCTCACTTGGATTACAAACCCTAACATTCTAATTTTAATTCCACCAAGTGAAGTGCAAGAATCCAAATTATTGAAGTCCACCTTATCACAACCCGCACACCCGATTACCTAAATATACATGAACTTACGGTTAAAGCTCAACAGCTGGCCTCTGTAGCTGAGTTGGTTAGAGCGCTGCACCGGAATCGCAGGGCCGTAGGTTCAATTCCTAACAGAAGACTTTGTGCTGCATTTTTCGCAGTCGTTCCTGGTTAGGTCTTAAAATGTATATATTCTCACTTGGATTACAAACCCTAACATTCTAATATTAATTCCAACAAGTGAAGTGTAAGAATCCAAATTATTGAAGTCCCCCTTATCACAACCCGCACACCCGATTACCTAAATATACATGAACTTACGGTTAAAGCTCAACAGCTGGCCTCTGTAGCTCAGTTGGTTAGAGTGCTGCACCGGAATCGCAGGGCCGTAGGTTCAATTCCTACCAGAGGACCTTGTGCTGCATTTTTCGCAGTCGCTCCTGGTTAGGTCTTAAAATGTATATATTCTCACTTGGATTACTAACCCTAACATTCTAATATTAATTCCACCAAGTGAAGTGCAAGAATCCAAATTATTGAAGTCCACCTTATCACAACCCGCACACCCGATTACCTAAATATACATGAACTTACGGTTAAAGCTCAACAGCTGGCCTCTGTAGCTCAGTTGGTTAGAACGCTGCACCGGAATCGCAGGGCCGTAGGTTCAATTCCTACCAGAGGACCTTGTGCTGCATTTTTCGCAGTTGTTCCTGGTTAGGTCTTAAAATGTATATATTCTCACTTGGATTACAAACCCTAACATTCTAATATTAATTCCAACAAGTGAAGTGCAAAAATCCAAATTATTGAAGTCCACCTTATCATGACCCGCACACCCGATTACCTAAATATACATGAAATTATGGTTAAAGCTCAATAGCTGGGCCTCTGTGGCTCATTTGGTTAGAGCGCTGCACCGGAATCACAGGGCCGTATAGGTTCAATTCCTACCAGAGGACCTTGTGCTGCATTTTTCGCAGTCGTTCCTGGTTAGGTCTTAAAATGTATATATTCTCACTTGGATTACAAACCCTAACATTCTAACATTTCAAATTAAGGATTTGGAGGTTTTGCGATCACTGATAACTTGATAATAATATAAAACAAAACACTTCTATCTGCAACTTTTACAATCACTGATAAATTGATAATAATTTAAACCAGTCAAGCTGTAGTTTAAATAGAGAATAATAATACATGGGTGCACGAAATACCAGATTTATTTCGAGTGTTGAACATGAGTGTGCAGCGAACAAGTGAGCGCAGCAAACGAGTGAGATGTCATGTTCAACACAAAAAATAAATCTGGTATTTCCAACCACCCATGTATTTTTCTGTTTATTATATAAAGGACAGTCTTAAATGAAAAGCGATAATGTTTACAAAAAAGCGATAATTGAAAAGGCGATAAATTTCACATGCGAGATTATCATGAATAATTTCACATGTGAGATTATCATTTTTATCAGTGGTCGAAATCTCTGTAAAACACTATACTTTATATAATAAAAAATCATAAATTTGAACCATGCTAGAGCATGACAACAGCAAAATGCTCTATAGTATGATGCACAATATTTTGGGAGGTGATCGAAATACACGAACAATAAATCAGAGAGTGTTTGCTTGGAACTCACTGGGGGGGGGGGGGGGTGCAACACCCCTGATTATTGCTCATGAGGAATTTCAGGTAGATTTCCAGTGCACTTTTAGTACGTAGATTTAAGTAGATTTGCAGAAGATTTTCAGGGGAATTCAGGTAATTCTCAGGACATGAGAAAGTGAATTTGGAAAACAACTGTATTTTCGGAAAAATTATTATATGTCTTGAAAATTTTTTGTACATCTGGAAACATTTTGGTCACCCCCCTACCCCCTCTATCTAACCTCACACACACCCTGAGACGAAGTGCTCGCAACGGAACTGAGTATATATCTTTTGAAAACAGGCGAGGGGTTATTGCATGCATGTATTTCTAGTTAAATAGCATTGAAGGATTACAGTTCATTGGGACAAAATGTATTACCAAAATCTGAAAAGGAGGACTCAATTTCCTGATATTGTGTGGAAGTAACTTGGAATCTTTCTTAGCACAATAACATATATTATTATTCCATGCAGTTCGCTGCCTTTTGCTGCATACTGGTATGTAGATTAGTAGATATCACTGAAGAATTAATGCTATACATGGTTGACTTGTAGACACATGTCATTAGCTAGTCGCTTCGTAATCATGCGAAATACATCTCCTCTTGCGTTATAATGCGCCTAGCTTCGAGGCGAAGAATGTTCTTGCCTTCCAGCCTTCGATGCACTAACTAGCTAGCTATTAAAGTGTGGTTTTAACTTGGCTTGTTGGTAACATAACACCAGCCGATCTGTGTATTGTGTAATGACAACAAGATAAACATTTATAATTTTAACACATATGATACACTATACTGTATACAGTACATGTTTGTGCTTGTTTTAACTATTAGCGCTAACTACCAGGAAAACTGCAAACTTCAAGAATCAATATTTCTGGAAAAATAAACATGCTCTTCTATTAATTAGCGGTATTACTTGTACTTAAAGTTGCATTTTTCCATGGCCCCAGCGACTTAACGCTCCATGGAGCGTCTTGTTCTTCACAATGCTGTGTGTGTGAACAAGAATTACCCTCATCTAGTGCTCATAAATGCTTAAAATGTGCATGTGCCGTTCATGCAATTTGCGGTGAAAATCCTGATGGGGATGAAGGATATGGCATTCCTGTTTTGTGCAACATTTGCCTTAAGCTTAAATCAGCAGTATCAGCTGAGGAAAAGAAAAAAACCTGTGAGTTGTTCAGGTACAGTAATGCCTGGGTCTCAGTTTGTGTATTTAGCGAAAATAGACAAAAAATCATAAAAAAATTCAAGTTTTATATGGATTTATCAAAGGAGATTCTAAAAGTTGACCTACTTTTCATTGTCATGGCAACGATCATGTGATGTATATTTCGAAAAACAACACCAAAAATGATACGTTTTATTCAGAGGCTCTGCAGCAGTATATTTCATGACTGAGAGGACGCAGAATTGCGATAATCATTCACAGATAATATCACTGTTTATTGAGTGGCAGTCTGCCGCTTATTGTAAGGGATATTATATTTCCAATAACAACATTCATTGCGCATTCAAGCCGATATCTTGAAGCATAGTTAATGCTTGAAGGGAAGTATGCCATGGTGGAAAAGACCGAGTGAACTATATGTGCTATAATTAATTTGTAATTCACAAGCAATTTTTCATTGAAAATAAGAAACAGTCAACAATTCATACTGAATAATCGCAAGATAGCGCACTTATAAGCTTTTATTTATCAGCAGTTCAAAAGGTCAGCTGTCGCAAATGATACAATACTTATTGCTATACAAAGAGCCAAATTATCACATCAAAACTGAATACTATACCGACTTCTTTGCATTGTATATTCCAAAATAATCCTGTCGCTCATATATACTATATTTTGATTTGAAGCAAATGCCCGAATTCACGAAAATACTCACACAAGAGGCGCATATTCTAACAGATGCATTGCTGACACAGATCGCACGTGCAACACATGTGCAAGATATCATCCAAACGTGAGCAGACCCAGGCATTAACATGCCTGAAGTGTTGCCTCAATTCCAAGTTTTCACAACAACAATTTCTTAACCTTTGTCTATGTTTAACAAACATTTTGTTTTCCTTTTAATAGAAGATTTTTTTCCAGAATCAAAATGTTGATGAGAAAAAGAAAACAACCACTGGTAAAACATTGGAATCTATGTACCTGCTTTAATTCAGGTTTAGTGATTTCTAGGAAAGTGAAATACGTCATCAGCTAGTAGGCCTAATTACTTTCAATAATTGACAGAATACCCACCAATTTTACAATGAACCGTTTTGATGTTTTTGTGCAGATATCGTCACACAAGACAAAATGAAATGGTGGTTGCAAAAACCCAAGAATGGCAAAAATGACAACAAAAGGGAATAAAACCTCTACTGGCACTGATGAGGCAAAGAAAGCCTGGGGAATCTGTGTTACATGTTTTAGGTATAGCTATATACAAGATACATTATATCTTTACAGCCATATATCATAGTATGTCTCATGACAGAATAAATAGTCGTTGTTGGCTAGTTAAATTATTATCATTTTGGTTTTAGAGCTGGGAAAAGCCCAGATGGGTATCAGTTATGCCGTAGAGACAAAACAACTGTAGATCACCATGCTTCATGGCGTCATGAAGATAATTTATTTGAAGTTGTTGTTAAACCATGCTATGACGAATCTGTTTGCAAAGCACAAGAAGAGTGTGAAGGAAACCAGTGTTAAAAGTGGCAGTTGGATAGATTCAACATCAGGTAGGTCTGATATAGAACTATTCCCAGTGACAGGAGTAAAATATAATTTAAGAAATATGTATTATTATTCAAGAAAAACCATGTTAGCTAGTAATTACAAGTTAGCTAGTAATTATTACAGTCCAAAAAATCCAATAAAAGAGCTGCTCAAACCACTGATCCTGTTGTACCCCCCAAAAGTACAGACTGTTCTTTGTTTTGATAACAAAACTGTTCCAGAACATGAACAAACTGATGAATTGTTACACTCAAAGATTGGCAGCCTCATTGGTGAGTTTAAAGAATTAAAGTTACAACTGACGTCAACGATAAAAGTAAAAGAAACAGGCCCAAAGCCACTGGTAGCAGTTGATGCAAAGTGCCTTCCAGAAACTACTGAGCTCCTACTTCATTGGCCTGAGGTGAAAAACATTCTTGACTTGGTACAAGTTTGCAAACATGTCAGGGTTTTTTCTGGAAATGTAAAAGAAGGAATTCTCTCAGTGGTTCGGTGCGAGACATGCTTTGCCTACCTCAACAATGTCAAGAAGAATTCTGCATTACAAGTATCAAACCCAATGGCTATTGCAAGAAAAGGACTTGGCGGGTAATTTGCTGCTCAATTGTACATATTTTGATTAAATGTTGAACCATTTTTGGCCCATGTCTGCACATTCTTACAGTTTTCCTTATTGCATTAACACAATACTAACGCTAGACAATAATATTTACATTTCCGCTAGTAATGTTAAAGAGCATGTTACTTTAGCTGGTGGTCATGCACATACGTTTTGAAGCATTACAGGTACGTTTAAGCTTGTTGTATATAATTTACAAGAAGTTTAAATTGCATTAAAATAGAGGTTCATTTTCTCTAGGTATTTAAGAAACCTGGGATAGATCTTCCCATTGACCTGATTGCAATAACTGATCTGGCCATTAAATGAAAAGAGCCCTAATTAGACCAACATTTCTAATGGCATAAGCAAGCTGTTTTAACGGCACTGACTACGGGGTTGTATATCGTATTAATACTTTTTAATTTTCTTTGGATTGAAATATGGATAATTTCTATTTTGTCTTTGAATAGTACCAACGAGAGTGTAAAAAAAAACAGGAAGAATGAGGTCTCATCGCTCTTTTGTATGCCGCTGAAGTATGGTGCGACAGGCAAATTGCAATATTTTTATCAACAACCTTGCCTTCTACAAAGCTTCCTCCCTACATCTATGTTACAGCTGACAAATCTACACCAAACAGAATTTCCAATCAGGCAGGTACGGTTTGTCCCATGGTCACAGGTCGTCGGAAGGCAATTGTGGTAAGCGCCCCAGAGGTGTATGAGTCAGCTGAGTCGGGTATTGATGGTGATGTCAGTGGAGCTCATGCACCCGAGCTAGCAACAACAATTTACCAAAACATTACAGGTGCATATCCAAGATTCATCACTCCACGGAGCATGGATGGGAACTGTGTGTGATGGACCTTATGAACTGCATCAGAATTAAAAAAAAAAAACACTATCTACCATTTTAAATCACAAGAAATATGATCCAAGTCATTTCGCAGTGTTATGGGATGCTCAGCATTTTATTGATCTGGCATTTAGTGATGTTTTTGAGGGAAAAATTGGTGCTTCAAAGGAATTTGTATGTCAACTGGTTCAAAGAACATGTGTTGTGCATCGAATTTTTCAACGAGGAAAGATGCTGAAGCATGCTATGTCCATGGGGGAGACACAAGATGAGTTTGTGTTGAGGTTAACCAGCAGAGCTTGCAGCACCAGATTTTCCACTTTACCACTCTTCATTAAGACCTTTAGAGAATTTCAGTATTCGGAGATTAAACAATATATATAAACAATATAGGCGTAGATTTTTCCTCGACCGTTGTGGTATTTGCGACACCTTGAAACCTCTGATGGATCTATTAGTTGCACTTCAAAGTATTACTTGTCCATGCTGGAAAGTATTAAGTTGGTGGCCAAATCTGAAGTCCCATATGAAAATATGAAGACAAGTCTATACATCGATCCTCCATCATCTTTGTTCCCACTGCTGAAGGAACACTCTCAAGATATACTCTCAAGCAAGTTCAAAGGAACAAAACTTGTCCAAGGATGGAAAGTTGTATCCAAAGAAACCAGTGTCGATGATGAAGGAAATCCAATCACCATTCATCATTGGAATGCTCGGGAGACAAAGGATGTCGAAACTAATTTGGAAGTTTTTATTTCTGATCTTTTGTTATCCTTTGACAACCGAATCACCAAAGGTTCTGATGAGCCGATATCCATTCTCACTTGCTTGGATCTCAACACTATTTTCAGCTTTCTTTGTGCTAAACGCTTGAGGAACGGCTATCTTTTGGTGAGGCATCCCTTGAGAGGTATGGCAAAGTCAATTTTGCTTACGTATATTCCTTAGACCATGTTAAGAAGCTCTCATGTGATCTTGAAGAAGTGGATTTGCTCTTTGATCCCGCCTTTGCGCACATTGTCTTACACAAGATCAAACAAGCGCTGAAATTGTTTTTGTGGAAGAATAAAGGAAAATATCCAATGAAATGGTTTTCACTTTCATCAACAGAACCAAAGTCTTATGGTCCCTTGACAGAACTTTCGATCAATGACAATGAGTCGGTTCAAAGTCAGGATGAAGAAGGTAACAAGTACTGGCTCGGTAATCTCTACTCTCTCACATTTGGGTCAGAGAAACCAATTCATGCCGAGCTGAACGAGGCGGCCGTGTACGACAGCATTTATTGTGATGAGGAAATTTACAGTGCTATTGGCATTGAAGGTTGTGTCACAATCGATATTGCTTTGGCCAAAGGCGGGACTGAAGCTGTAGTCGAGTCTTTTTACAGCATCATGAAATCGCAACAATCCACAAGGGGTCAATCAAATGAAACATTGGCCTTAAGGAGGTGAATGTTACTGAGTGGGTTGATCTAAAAAAATATTATAAACATTCCTTGGATTTGATTTTTTGTGATGTTACTCTCAGTATGCATCCACACCGGGAAAGCTGAAAAGTTAGCTTGGCTAACTATGACTGTGTAGTTTAAATATTATAAGAAATTATTTTAAAGGATTGGCTATTTTTTTTATAGAACGAAGCTTGACTGGTGCATGCCCCCAATTTTGTAAGCAAGATGGGCAACTAAAGATATCGCCAAATTGTATCTTGATGGCGAGAAAGACACCTTGCTCCCCAAGCATTCATTGCCTATCTTAGGAGATCGGGCAAAATATGTAAAGGAAGGGAAAGTACTTAAACGCCATCGCACAGAGGACGTTTCTTTGTCATTTCTTTTGTAAATATTTGAATATTCACTGAGTATAACTTATACTTATAAAGTTGTCTGCTTGTTAAAGTTGTACACAAATAAAACATTCTAACTTCGAATTCTCAGCCATAACATTCATTGTAAGGTTAATTAAAGGAAATTGAAGACTTGAAGTTGTTTATTATAATTCTGTTTCTACTTCAGCCTTTAGACGTACAGTAAGAAACGATTTTTGATTGAGAACGGAATGAGTAGATGAAGTTGCGACTTTGTGGCGCATGTCAAAGTGTGGAAAACACACTTTGCGCTGTCACTGGCGCATGTTTCTCAACCTGGAATAGATCTTTGGTGCACGTAAAACAAACTTTCCATCCTGGGTACTGTGTATTCAGCTATTAAACTCCCCACACTTTTTTTTTTGTGTTGGTGTTGTGTACTCAGGTGAATAATATGTTTGCGATGTTACTCTGAGTGCATATCCACACCAGGCGAGCTTGAAAAGTATGCCCGGCCACGGTGGGATTCGAACTTACGACCTTTGGAATACTAGCCCAATGCTCTTCCAACTGAGCTACGCGGTCAGGACGGTTCGAGTAAGTGATATTTCGGAACAGTATCTAGTTCCTTCAATACCAATGTGTTCTTGTAATATGAATTTTTTTTTGTGTTGGTGTTGTGTACTCAGGTGAATAATATGTTTGCGATGTTACTCGAGTGCATATCCACACCGGGCGAGCTTGAAAAGTATGCCCGGCCACGGTGGGATTCGAACCTACAACCTTTGGAATACTAGCCCAGACCTTTGAAATACTAGTCGTCCTGACCACGTAGCTCAGTTGGAAGAGAACCTACGACCTTTGGAATACTAGTCGTCCTGACCGCGTAGCTCAGTTGGAAGAGCATTGGGCTAGTATTCCAAAGGTCGTAGGTTCGAATCCC